GTTCTAGGTCTGACAAAGTTTGAAGCTGTGAATTGCTTTCCCTGTAAATTCAAAAGTTAAAAAACATGCTTTATCCTGTTTTATTTTTTGCCTCACATAAAATTGGAAAATGGTTAATAAATAAACAAATAAATAAATAAATAAATCATTTACCCTTCATCTGAATTGTTGCTTTCTTCTGTATGTCTGAAAATAATAAGAGTTCAGAATCAGCGCCAACGTGTGGTCAGTTCAAGAAATAAAACTTACTTAGACATAGAGGGCGTGCATTCATGCTCCAATTAAAAAAACAAAAGATTTTTACGAGCTAAGGTTGGAAAATAACGTTGCTATGTTCAAACATGTTGGCGGGTAACTCTATACAATGTGTTGAGCTTCATGACTAAAGAAAAGTCAAGTCTAGTGAAAAGACACCCTAACTATTTGGGAAAACACCTCACATTATCATTGTTTTAAAGCTGGGTGGTATGCTTGGTGATTGAGCTCAAGCCGTGATTCGCTGTGTCAGGGCATTCTTTGCGAATGACCGTGGTATGATTTGAAAATATTGTAGTATTCGTTTTTTAGTAAACAAGTCTTCATTATTATACATTTTCTACCTACTCAGACTTTCTATTTTCTGTGCCAATTTATAACAATGTCTCTCATAGCATAAAAGTATTCTTTAAAGACGCAAAGGCTTATGGGTAGACGCTTCAACTGATAGTTTTTTTTCAAAAACAAATCAAAGAAAGCTTAGAAAGAACTCCCGTGTGCTGAGAGTATTGAAGACACATTAAAAATTAATTCCAAATTACTTGTACATGAGATATTGATGGAAAAGCTGAAAACTAATTATGTAAGTCGGGTAACTAATATGAACAGAACAGGACAAAAAAATTATGAATTATTATGCTAATTAGAGAATTAATATTAATCAAAATTAATCAGGCCTGTCTATTCTCCTAGAGAATTTATGTACCAAATTTTATTCAAAAAGTGATGATCAGTAATTGAGATATCAGTGTTAATTAATTATGCTAATTAGGTGATTAATAAACATAAATCTTTACCAAAAACTAATTGGGTTTCTGCATAGTTCTCTTTAAAAGTTTCATTAAAATCCAATTTGTGGTTCTTTATATATCAGTGGAACATTATGCAAATTAGGTAATTAATATCCAATTAAAACTAATCAGGTGTCTGCATAATCATAGAAGATCTATGTAGCAAGTCTCATTGAAATATGATTACTACTTGACATATCAAAAGCTGAAAATTAATTAATTATGCAAATTAGGTAATTAATATGTACTCATATTACCCTAAAAAGTATCAGGTCTGTGCAGTGTCCTATGACATCTATGTACCAAGTTGTATTGAAATGTGATGATTACTACTTGAAATATCAAAAGCTGAAAATTAATTAATTATGCAAATTAGCTAATTAATATATACTGATATTACCCTAAAAACTATCAGGTCTGTGCAGTGTCCTATGACATCTATGTACCAAATTTCATTGAAATGTGATTACTACTTGAAATATCAAAAGCTGAAAATTAATTAATTATGCAAATTAGGTAATTAATATGTACTCATATTACCCTAAAAACTATCAGGTCTGTGCAATGTCCTATGACATCTATGTACCAAGTGTCATTGAAATGTGAGGATTACTGCTTGAAATATCAAAAGCTGAAAATTAATTAATTATGCAAATTAGCTAATTAATATATACTGATATTACCCTAAAAACTATCAGGTCTGTGCAGTGTCCTATGACATCTATGTACCAAATTTCATTGAAATGTGATTACTACTTGAAATATCAAAAGCTGAAAATTAATTAATTATGCAAATTAGGTAATTAATATGTACTCATATTACCCTAAAAACTATCAGGTCTGTGCACTGTCTTATGACATCTATGTACCAAATTTCATTGAAATGTCATGATTACTACTTGAAATATTAAAAGCTGAAAATTAATTAATTATGCTAATTAGGTAATTACTATATACTGACATTACCCTAAAAACTATCAGGTTTGTGCAGTGTCCTATGACATCTATGTACCAAGTTTTATTGAAATGTGATGATTAGTACTTGAGATATCAGTGGAAAAGCCGAAAATTGATTAATCATTATGCAAATTAGGTAATTAATATTGCACAGATTTTTACCCAAAACTAATCAAATCTGCGCATTAGTTTGGAGCATCTGTGTGCCCAGTTTCATCAACATCCAATGAGTGGTTATTTAGATACCAGTGGAACAGTCATGGAACAGCTAAAAATCAGCTAATTATCATGCAAATTAGGTAATTAATATGCATGGATTTTTACCAAAACCTAATCAAATCTGCGCATTGGCCCAGAGCATCTATGCACCAAGTTTCATCAAAAACTGATGTATGGTTCTTGAGATATCAGTGGAACAGACGGACACACACACACACACATACAGACACACTAACTGCAAAGACTCCCTTTTTGTGTTTCGCACACGGGGGTCAAAAACTCACATATCCCGAATTATTGGGTAGTGTTTACAACATGAAAACACAAAAAGTAAAAATGAATCCCTTACCTTATATTATATTATCTGTGGACGCCATTTCATTCCGTGTAACGAGTGTGGCTCGTTTAGACATACTGACTAAGCTATGAAGTCACTAGGACAAATACGCTCCAACGATTTGTATTTTTTTGATAGCAGCCCTGACACCCTCAAATGCCTTAGATAGCGGACATTCATAATCCCCTGGATCCAGGAATAGATGTGAATCTGTTTATTTTACTATAAACATCTGTGTGTCTGTGTGGTCTGTTTGTGTGATAAAATTGGATCATGACAACATAGGTCTGACACCCATCGCTCAACACCTTAGAGAACTCGACATTGATTTCCCCTTGGATTCATGAATTGTTTTTGAATGGGAGAAATCTGTTTATTTTATGATAAACGTGTGTGTGTGTGTAATGAATCTATAAATATATTTGACTTGGTTGGGGAAAATGTTAACATGATGTAAACATCCAGGGCAACAGAAAGGAGAATTTTTTAACACCAGACGTGGGTATTGCGAATCATTTTATCACTGACGAGCGTATTGGCAACATGGCTCAACAAATACCAAACCAGCTCAACACAATACCTTAATGATTTCTCAGGCAGTCTCCTGCAGGACGCGACTTCTCCCACATATGATCAAACTACTGGTATGTCTACTCCAGCTTGTGTGTAATTGTTAAGATAAGGTTCAGGGGTGGATAACAAGAGACGAACTGGTGTACACTATAACAGATGACTTTATTGAAACTCCTGCCGTGATGTGTCAAAACACCCACTTATATACACAAGTTTACATTCCTTGCATTTTGGCGGAAAGTGACTTTGGCCTTGTACATGATTGGGTAATAGGGAAACGAGCTGATAGGTAAATAACTATTAATGAGGTTGTTTTATTGGCTAAAATTAACGTACTATGATTGGCTAAATTATTTGTAAGCAGAATCCTAAATCGACATCAAGCTCGGCTAGTTATATTTCCGATACAGCTACAGCAAAGCCCGATGTTTCTGAAAATTCAACTCGCGGTATTAAACGGCGCAAAGTCACGAATGTGCTGCCTACACCTAAATCATCTGACAGTGGTACAAAGCGTCCATCAGCTCGTGACGACTATGTAACACGTCCAACAGCCGCATGTCCCCAGAGAGGTGAGGCCTGCATTTTTACGTATCTGCTGTGCCCCGTCAAAAATGTGTATGCCACTGTAAATTCTTTTCGCGGAGAAACTTGTGTACATATTCGGGAGCACTATAACGGCTTCCCAACGAAGCGCAGTGTGTCCTTAAGGATGAACCAGTTCAGAGTATTGAATGACATTATGCCACAAATCAACCATGTTGTCAGGTATGTTCGTTTTCATTTCAAAAAATCCAAATATTCGTTGCTCATTTTCCTGACTCCTAATATATAGTATAGTCCAGAGTGGACGCGACTAAGTGCAATTTTATATACTGTAGAAGGGTTAATTATTCACTGGGTTTTAATTTTGCTTATTTCGCTGACTGGAAAATGTGCTAAATTAAAACCCAGTGAATATGTAAAATTTAGCATAGAACACTTTATCTAAACGATAAAACCGTGAATTTAAAACCCACTGAGTATGCCTGAAATGGTAAATCAGTGAAATTTAAACCCAGTGAAAATTAGTCATTTACAGTATTTTTGTATTTTTTCACAGGCAACAGTCTGAAGAAACCATTGGATAAACCTGTTT